TAATTCTGGTTAAATGAATACAGCTCAGCTCTCTCTTGTCTTGCCGTCTGTTTCTCTGTGTGGGTCTCTCCCTCTCTCATGACAAGTGGATCAGCCATTTTAAATTGTATTGATGGTTATTATTACATGGAAGGTCTTTTTCCACCATTTTCTCTTTGGTTTTTTAGAGAATCTCTACTCCGGGCAGGAGTTTCTTCTCATCTGTTTAAATCTATCATCTACTTTCACATATAATGTCATAAAACACAATTTCAACCAAATTTACTCCATTTTAAGAAATCTACTTGAGGTAATTTTACTTTTACAACTGGATTTTCTTACTAAAACATTTTGTTAGTAAATTCAATTTGCCATTACTGCCCTTTTTCTTTGCACCTGAAGTTTCATTTGTTATCTAACTTTTTTCACAGCTTTCACAATAATCCAGTAAACTGCCAAACTACTAAATCGATTCTCAAATTAGACCTCACAACTTTTCCTGCTTAAACTCACTTCATCTTTTCAACTGCAAACCATACTTTATGTGACCTCATGACCCCATTTTAGTTTTCATTTCATTTTATGTCAACTGTCTACTCTGTCTGCCTGTGTTATGATTGCTTGCTATAACCATCACACACATGCACCCACACACACAGTTATAAGTTGTATGTGTCCTACCTGGTGTAACTGTTCATCCAGTTTAGCAAGTCCACAAACTGGTCACAGCCCCTGGGAAAGAAAGAGAGAGAAAGCATGTTAAAGTTGCATAGTACTCCATTAGTACTGCAACATACAATGATATTTTAGGCAATAATGCGCTCATGAGTTAACAAGTCCATAAAGAAATGGTTTTCCTAGCTGGGTGTGTAAAGACTGGCCTGCACCGAGCCCTGAACTCAACCCCATCTGACACCTTTGTGGACCTAATCAACCAGCGTCAGTGCTGGACCTTACTCAGCATTCAAGTTGTGGTTGAATGGGAGAAAATCCCTGCCATCAGGTTTTCCTCTCTGCTGTTATAGGAGCAAAAATATATAAATAAATACAATTTCAATAAAGAGATATGATTTTGGGTGTCCACATACTTTTAGCCATTTGGAAAAATAAAAGCATAGATTGTGAACATATACTTAATAGTTTTAAAGGTCAAAAGGCCATGATACTTTCTCGAGCATACAAACATCAGTGCAGTAGTTTGATTTGTGTTGGAAAAATAAAGAACAGCAGTATTGTTTTGTAAAATTTCCACAACAACAGAAGTGACACGCTGATCCTGTGGTTTGTCATCTAAAATTTCTAAAAACACTCTGAAGATTTGTTTTCTTAGCAGATTCTGAGCATTTGACACTGACATTTAAAACCCTTCGATGAATCCAGCAATAAACAAATAGAAACAGATGACACTCTGTCTTAGAGTTTCAGATCACTTGTGTCATCCGTTTGTCATTTCGATTTTCAGTTTTCTTTTGTCACTTTTCTTTGGGGATTTTTTTTTTATTTAAGCCCGTTGGGGTTTCTGTTCTGTCTCACCCACTGAGATTGGATTTCTTTTCATCCCCTGATATTTTTGAAGTGTTCTTATCTTTTGTATGGATATGCAAATAACTCAACCTAAACCTACAGCAGTAACTGGTTCTGTGTTTTCATTGTGCTACCGCTAACTCCACCGTGGCAGATAATATCAGACTGGGCAGCAGAGTCTGGGAACGGCACACCAACAAGAGTCAGATGGTCCAATATAGAGGTGTGTATTGTTACCGTACTTATAGATTCTAATAAAAATACTCCCTTTAAAAACAGATCAATGATTTATCTGATAGTAGCTATGTGAAACTTACAAACAGAATAGAAATTAAAATAGTCCCCGTTTTTCAAGGAGTCCCAGGAACCCAGGTTGAAAACTATTCCCTCTAAAAGACCAGTGTGTAGGATTTAGTGCCATCTAACGGTGAAGCCTGTAGATAAAACTAATCATTCAAAGGTAACGAAAATGCAACGACTCTTATTTTCAGGTGATTATACACTAATGAATACATACCTATGAATATTATATTCCATTTTCTGCCAATATACCCCCTAATGTTACACACTGGACCTCTAAATAAACTAAAAATAATAATAAACAGCTAAATTAGTGCTAATCGTAAATAAATAAACAACAATTATGTCATAAATACATTTCGAGACTACAATTTAAGAAAGATACACTCACAATCAGTCCATCAGTCAGTCAGTCTGTGATGTGTAGCCATTTGCCATTTTTGGTTCACCTCCTTTTACTAAATCTGCCACATGTATGTCAGTTAGATTTACTACATTTCCCAACATGCCACTGGACATCCCCCCATAGACAAGTTCAGGGTTTTACATGCACGTAGACGTGAGGCGTGGGTTACTGCAAGCACAAAAGTGAGAGTTTCCCATTGAGAGTTAGTTAGTTTCACCCTTTACTCAAAGCTCAACAACCAATGTTGTCATCGTAAGGTTCTGGTTTCATGTCTGTGGGTGCAAAAATTTCTCCCCGTATGACTATTGAAAGTCGATGAGCGGCTGTAGATTCAGAGTGATCGACATCAAAGGGTGCTCTGGCATTTCAGATGACTGAAACATTTTCTTAATCATACAACACCGGAGCTGGTGGGAAAAAGATGTGATGTCGTCTACATTTGAGATGTTATCCAGATATTAATAAGAAACATTTTTTAAAGCAAACAATGAAGATGGTTGTCTAGGTGCTGTGCATTAGATTAGAGTTGGGGGTTTAATAGCATTTCAATAAACCCACCGTTATATCAGCGTATCAAATACAATTCCTTAATCTGTTTAGGTTTAGCTCTCAACAATTCTAAGTAACAAAAGTTAAACTAAAATCCAACATATTGACATTCAAAGAACCAAAACTCAAGGTTTGCTAGTTGTTTCAAACTGCTTTTTGTGAATAAAAAAAGAGTTAAAAGTTTTATTGATAGATTCGTGAGCCTCTGCAAGCATTAAGGGACAAACTTTAGTTTCATTTCTGTGCTTGATGGTCAAGCAATACAGAATGCCAAAGGAAAGGGGAAACTGACAGCCAAGCTCTGTCAAAGGGGCCATCCTACAATCCAAAAGCCATGTTTACAAGTTATATCTCATGTAAAAAAAAAAAAAAAAAAAAAACTTTTTTTTTTTTTTTGCCTTTTTTTTTTTTTTTTTTTAAAAAAAAACACGTTTTTTTTTTTTTTTTTTGTTTATATATTGGATATTTTGGTGTTTATAATATAAATACATACTTGAGTTGAGTTTGTGTTTTTCTCCTATTTGTTGAGTTTTGTGTATTTAAAATTAGCTTAGGGTATAAATGTGTGGTGTGTAAATGGTGTGTGGCATTTGTTTCGACTCCATACTGTCCCTATAAAAAAAAACATACAAAAACTAGATCATTTTTTGAGCTATTTGGAGGCATATTCTTCCTCTTTAAGCCAGCAGTTTCCCTCTGCCTCTTCTACACTCTGGCTAAGTTGGGCTAACATGTTCTAGACCACTAGATCAGTCTTCTTATCTAAACCCTTGCAACAGTGCTGTACAAAATTTTAGATCATTTACCTTAAAAAGCTTTTCATCAAGATTAGCCAGCTATCAGAAACCAACCCCATTAGCATTTTTCCATGTGCATAGTTAAGCCTGCTGTAATTGCTATGTTAATTTAAACCAGAAAGTTTCCCCTGCTTCTTCATGTGTAAAGCTTTCTGCTGAAGCACTGGGACTGTTATATTCTGAAGCAGCGATAGCAAAAGCATTTTGCAAGTCGGCTTTGTTAGCAATAGCCGACATAAGAAAATGTAGACATGCTTAGTGCCATTAGGTCAGCGGAATACTTTTAAATGTTTCAAGATGGAATAGTACAAGAAGAAACAGCCATAGTGACCTGATAGATGAAGAGCTGCAGGCGACAAGGAAAACTATCTTTACTGCGTTATTCAAATAGTAGAAAAGCATTCAAAGCATGGTTGTAGAGGCAGTGGCGGCCCAGTGAAAGGGGACTACAAAATTTGGCTCTGAAAGTGTTATACTATTAGATATAATATAATTGTATTATCGTGCTGCTACATTAACGTGTATAACCTTTAGTTGGTTGAGATGGAGTCAGTTTAAACTATTTTATATACAGCTGGATAGTTCGATCTACAACAACACTTCATATTTCATATATATTCATTTAAATACATATATTTATCTAAATGTACTGAAGTATAGAGTATAAAAATACATATTTCATAATGATTTATAATCACTGGCAGTACTACAGTAAAAGGAGAACTGACTGTTGGTTGTGTCAGTTGGGATTTTCTGATTACAAAACACTGATTTAGCTCTACTGTCTGATGCATAAATGCATGAAGTGAGACTAATTACAAGCTGTTGAGAAAGTAGGCCAGTTTGAGTAAAGGTCTCTCTCTCTCTTTTTCTATCTCTCTCTCTCTCTCTCTCTCTTCCTCTATCTTTCCATCATCTCCCCGTCCATTTGAATAGACAAACACACACACACACAGCCCACCTGACAATCCAGTGCCTCCCTGAGTAAAGAGAGGTTGGGTTTCAATATCAGCCTCTTTAGCTGTCACACACAAACACACACACACACAGTTTTTAGCAAGCATCTCACAGGTGGGAGCTGAGCGTGAGGAAAACGATCATATTTCCCTTCTCGTTAAAAAGCTGCCTTACTATTGGCCGGGGTGGAGCAACAGACGTGTCAGTCAGCAGCAAGGTGATCACTGATTGGCTGAGGGACAAAAAAAAATCCTCATTTAGCTGTTGTAGGGGGCAAGAGAGGGAGTTTCCTTTTGTACAGCTGAGGACAACAAGCTGGGAACACACACACACACACACACACACACACACACACACACACACACACACACACACACACACACATACACACCCCCTACTGAGCAAAGTCCTTCAAATGAAAAGTGTGTCAACAGCTGACAGAATAGACTCTCCTCTGTTGGTGCAGCTTGGAAACCTCTCATCCTGTCTCCTCTCCTCTTCCTGCTCTCTGTTACTCCTCGTTGTCCTCCTTCATAATCTTCCCTTCTCCTCCTCTCGTTTCCTTTCCTCTCTTTTCCGCTTTTCTTTTCCCTCTTCCCTTGTTTCCTTTACTTTTCTCTCTTCTCCTCATCTCTTCTTTCTTTTCCTCCCCATTCCTCGTTTCCTTTGAACCTCTTCTCTCCTCTCCTTTTGCTTCCTCTCCTCCATCCTCCTCTCCTCTCCTTTCCTTTCATCTTGTTTCCTTTTCTTCTAATTTCTTCTCCTCGTCTCCTCCCTCTCCCAGCTTTCCATCCTCTCCTTCCTTCCTGGTTCTCCTCTAGTTCATTCTTTCTCTCCTGGTTTTTTATCTCCTCCTCTCCCCCTTCCAAACCAAACCACAGAGGAAGAATTTATCAGGAGAAGCCAATCAACCAACTCATTAGCTGTGTGTGTGTGTGTGTGTGTGTGTGTGTGTGTGTGTGTGTGTGTGTGTGTGTGTTTGAGTGTTTATCTTAATAATTTAGCCATCGCTGTCAGGACCTTGGTCACCGCAGCGCTCTCAGGTTCCTCTACAGCTCTCAGGTGATCACACACACACCCACACACACATACACACACACACAAAACACTGGTGAAACTGTGCAGTTGCATTCAAAAGCTGCACAATTCAGAGAAATAAACCGTGGATCAGTTCAGTGTGATGCTTTAAATCCTCTTTTAACGCTCTGAATTCGTCGCTCTCTGGAGGAAGCCCATTCATTTTATTACCCAGTAGAATCAGAAAGCACAGTGTTACTGCGCTGCAGGTGAATTATGTTGCAATGCAGCTGTTATTTGTTGGTAATAATCTACTTTGAGGTGTCTGATTGTTACAGTAACAGACTGGGTGAAGCAAAGAATACAATACAATACAAAGTGGAACGTTTTTTCTGTCAAATCTGTTATTGGACTCATCAGATTGGTAGTTCAAAGCCTCATTATGTAACTTTTCTACCTTAAAATAACAGCTTAAAAATAATTTTATACTACATTATCTTGTAATAGGGCGAATGGTGCCTCTGTCTTTTCTACTCTGCACCCCGTACGCCTGTTGTCACACTATGAAACTTTGGTCTCCAGGTCGGGACAAGTGCGTAAGCGAGCAAGCAACGGGACCAGGCTCTGCAGACGTCATGGAGACCAAAGAGGACGTTGATGGAGGAAGCCAAGGAGAGAAAATGAGAGAGAAGCCACCGAACAAGAGTAAATCTCAGACTGGCTTTCAGTCGTTGGTGAGAGATTCGTGAAATAAAAGGCGGCAGACAGACGGGGAGCTGGCCTTCTTGCTGTTTGACTAGTGAGTAATTACTACAGTATGTCTTGTGTTGTTGCACTTGCATGATGTTTGGCTGTGTTGGCAAAGTTGTCACCTCACTAGATTTTCATCATAAGTAATGTAATCATAACAAATGCACATGTACAGCTGTCCATGTTTACGACAGTGGTGTGTAAGTGAATTGCACTGTGAAACTGTCGGGGAGCCAAATAAAAAAAATCTTACATAATCAGAATCAGAAATAATCGCGAGCCATACAGCACTATAGCCCTGTAATGCTAGTGTGACACAGCTGCTTGGCTTCTTCCAAACTGAAATGCTCCCAAAACTTTTTTGTGCTCTTCCTCTTTCGTCTTTCCTCCATTTTCAACCATGAATGTTTGTTTTCATCTCGCAGAAGACAACACACAGCGCAACGTCAGCCCTGCATGATGCAACTGTGATTATTGTCCATGATGAAACAAATCTCCAAGGCACAGAATCAAGGATTGTTAGTCAGATAACCTTCAGCCCTGCTGGATACTGCTGTCCAACTGTAGCATGTCATGTATTGGTAGGTGTACCTCGCACACACATGCATGCACACACACATATTGTTCCCACAAGGCCTAAGTAATAAATTAATTGAATGTTTCGTGCAGAAAATCAACTCACACCTCACGCACGTTCTCCATACGCCTATCCACGCTGGTAACAGTGTGTGTGTATGTGTGTGTGTGTGTGCTGCTCCTACGCAGTACACCCTGATGGCCATCTGAGGTGGCAGTGGGACAGATGGTACGTAGGTCGGTCTTTCCCCGTGCACGCTCTCACACACACGTTTAGCACAGACACATGCACGCACACAGCCGTCCTCAGCATGTGTCCTGACAGCAGAATACATACTGTAATGATCTCTTTAGCTACAGGCTTATAACCCCGCCAAGACCACAAACACATTCAGTACAAGTTTCTGTTATTGCTCTTTATTTGCAGTTTCGAGAAACAGCAACAAAGCATTCATCAGCGGCGCTTCTCTCATTTCTTTCTGTCGACATTCAGCTTCCATTTTTCTTTAATTGTTTTTCAGGGCACACAGCTTTTCCTAGTTTCTAAAAATACCATCTTTACAGTGTCAATCTGAGTTTAAAATTAGCTGCTTACCCTGCCAACAAAGACGAAGTGACAATACTGTTTGTGAAAATGAGACTTTTGATTGTATACCTATCTTATAATTTATACTAAATATTTTGATTGATTTCTTTTTTCACTGGATGCTTTCGTGTAAGCCGATGTGAGCTTGATCTCTATTGGTCTTTATTGGTAATGTGTCCTTTATTTGTGCTTCCTGTGACAAATTAAACATCAAAGAAATGCTCTGAGAACCAAACAGTCATGTTGGCAGCAGCTGGGCAGCACCAGTGTCCTTCAGCTGTTCAAACCTGTACTTCAGACCCTCATTTGCCAATCATCTGCCCTGCTGTATAGTGTCCTTAAGCATACAGTAGGGTTTGACCCTGACCTTTGACCTCTGACCTCTCTGTGGATAGGTGGACGCTCAAAAGAGAGCTTCCCTGCAGGAATGAATAGCGGATCACAGCAGGATTATGGCGTCCGGTAGGGCTAACACGACGTGCTTCTATGATGAGGTTGTAAATCTCTTCTGTGACTATGCAGCGAAGAAAGACTGAAATATTTTCCAGCACAAGAGTATCAGCAGGCTTGTTAAAGAGGGGGGAGAGAGACAGAGAGAGAGAGGGAGAGAGAGAGAGGGAGAGGTAGAGAGAGCAGGGCCGGGCCGTGAGTCGGAGTCTCCCCGGCCGGGGCCCCTCTCTAGACGGCAACGCGTCATGGAACATTCCCGGAACCAGCCAGCGCACCACCCACCATCTCTCTCTCTCTCTCTCTCTCTCTCTCTCTCTCTCTCTCATCCACACATACACACAAACAGAGGAAACAAACGATGAGCATATGAGATAAAGTCACTCCCCTCTGAAAAAAGAATCTCTGCCTATAACAGTTTGTATTTTTGGAGACAAACTCCACAACAACACACACACACACACACACACACACACACTGTAGCAATAAGCCTCTGTCACTGAACACACTGTAGCGGCAACAAGGAAATACCAACGGGAGTGCGCTAAGGTCACAGCTTAAACTCACTTTTGAACATTCCACGGGCACCATACAGTGATTACAGGAGCATCACGGGAATATTAGAGGGATTTGCAAAGTGAACTTCTATGAGTCAAACCACCCAGATGCGGACAGATCTGGTTTGTTGCTTCACAACGCATATATGCATGAAAATCGACCTTCCATACGCAAAATTACCATCACACCTATCCGAGCTTCCACTTTCACAGCTTCATATCCACCAACACTCCCCCTCCCTCCGGCTCTCCCCTCGATATCTCTCCCCCGGCCTTGCAGCCAGCCTGGCCGTGCAGGCTACTGCAAATTCCTCAGGATATTACGCAACCCGGGTAATCTGCATGCAATGCAATGCGTGCCCGGGGTATTCCCCCTGCATAGCCTTGCCCCAATAAGCTAAACAAAAGATCAAGTGCCGTGAAAACAGCCCATAATGTCCGTCATGGCATAGAAATCCCCGCTGTCACTGTGATATGTGTGAGAATGTGTCCGGTAAGGTTTCGTTTTTCCTCCCTGCACTTACCTTCTGTCTGCGCTCCGGCTGCGCGTCTCCGTCTCCGTGCGAAAATGACAACAAGCAAACCCGGTGACAGGAGATCCGATTCCGGGCGGGCTTGACACCTCGCTGGTTGTCCGTTAGAAACAGCCAGGAGGCGGTTGTTAGAAATCCACAACAGTCGAGGGGGAGCGGTGGAAACGTCGCGCTGAAGCGGCCGACGGAGGAAAAGTTGCGCGTAAAAATGGAAGGAATCCTTTCCGACCGGATTTCTGCTGCCGGAGCTCCACTACTGCAGTCAGACAGACAGTAAATGTGTGCGTCTGACTGTGTTATGAGTGTGTATGTGTGCGTGTGTGAGGGTGAAATCAGGAGACACATACACACGCACACACACACTCATACGCACACGGGGGTTATTCCAAACGCCACTTCCCAGAATAGCAGCATAGAGGAGAGGGAGAGAGAGAGAGAGTGAGAGAGACGGAGCGGCAGAGAGCGAGAGAGAGAGAGAGAGAGAGAGAGAGAGAGAGAGAGAGAGAGAGAGAGAGAGAGAGAGAGAGGGAGGGCGTGTGTGTGTGTGTGTGTGTGTGTGTGTGTGTGTGTGTGTGTGTGTGTGTGTGTGTGTGTCTGTGCTCGTGTGACGTCGTCGGATCCCCCAGCGCGCAACCAGGGCAGAGGGAGGGGAGGGGAGGAGGAGCAGTGGCCGAGGAGGAGGCTCTGTCTGCCGGCACAGAGAGAGCAGGATTCCCCGGTCACCTCTGGAGCGACCTGTCTGTCTGACTGTCTGCCTGCCTCGTTTTTTTCTGTCTATCTGTATATTGAGCTATGGGTTAAGACCGGAATTGAACACATTGATATACAGTTTGCACTTCAAAAGGATCACATCATATTATATATATATTATAAATGCACTTAAACGCTACAAATACAATTTCTAGTTCTACCATTAAAAATAGTCTTCAGCATCGTCGCTGTCATCGTTATTGTTATCCTATTAGTTGAATTATAATATTTGCGTATCTAACTCACCATTACAATGTTAAAGCTCAGTTCAGTCATTTTATGGTTTTATGTGGATTTAAAATCGAAAAGATGATTAATCTTTCATCACCCTGAATCATTTATGATAATTATACTCGTGCAAATTAATTTAGACTTAAAGTTGTCAAGGGTTCATTACACTGTTTGACTGCCAGGTTGCTTTGAAGTTAAACCTGCCCCATTAACCCCTCTTCCTCCCACTCTCTCCCCATGTTTGCTGTGTGTTCATTTAGGAATATGCTAATTATAAGCACAAAACCTAGTAATGAAGGTGTCTGACAGTAAGTTCCTGGATCTCTTCTGGTTGCCTGGCAACCTCAACCTCAATGGTCCAGCATAACCGCATGTGAAAGCGCAACTTGTCAGTTTTACACTTTTAAACAAGCAAGAAAACACAAGGCTAGTGAATTTGTTTTAACCTTTGGACGGAGCAATGCTACCTGCTTCCTCTTCCTTACAATCTTTATGCTAAGCTAAGGTAACCATCCTTGGCTGTAGCCTTGTATTTACTGTACAGACATTACAGCGGTATCGGTGTTCCAGTCTAACATCTTAGCACAACAGCAAATATGTGTATTCCGCAAAATGTTCAACAGTTTCTCTAAGACCTTTATCAGGTCAGTTGATACTGAAGTTTACTGGTGCATGTTGACACACAGTAAGGCTGAAGCTTTCAGGGCCCCTGGAGTTCTGGGACCCGGGGGGAAGTTCCCTGCTTTGCCTAGTTGGACAAGCAAACTTTGGTAAGGATTTTAACGTTTTAGTTGTATGTATACTGAACTGCATTGGACCTGGATTATTTCTGTGATGAGGTGTTCTTTCTGAAAACGGCCACAATAACCAAAAACATTAGTGTCTAATCTATCAGTATACATACATTACATGTGTTTATGTAGCTTTTCATAGCACTAAGACTAAGGAAGTCCTACATGAGCCCTCATCCTGCTGGTGGAAAGGTTGTTGGTAAAAGCCCAATATGCGATATATATCCTCATAGAGTGTATATATTTATTTAGGTGGGTAGTAGCAGCACCTTTCTGCAGCCAGTATTATATGTATAACGCCAGAGTGAAGGTGAATCCTCAGTATTCAGACAGCAAACCCACTCCAGCTCTGAGTCCTTTCATCTGTAAAACACATTTAGGAATACAGAGGAGCTCATTTAGGCAGCCCCTGCTAATAAATTAAATCAGGATTGATAAAGTCCCCTTTTTCCTTTGGACAGGTTCAGATGCAGCTGCCCCTTTGTGCTAATAAACTACATTAGCTTTTGTAAGCGCCTTTTAGCAACAGGTGGCAGGTTTGATAAATGACTAGAGACAAAGCATCCTGTACCTGAAGCTTCACAGGTTTGATTACTCTGAGAGACATCAGCCAAAGGCCTGAAATGTGAAATGCAGCGTGCAGGCTCTGACGTAACCGTCCACTGTGATAATAAACCAGTCGGACATTTGCACACCCCTCACATGCCAGCCTTCTCCAAATAGCTCTCATTTTACCTGGGAACAGATAATGACACATAATGGTCTGATAAATGTATCAGTGGCATCCGTTCATTCATAGCGCAGTGAGAAGTCATACAAGATGAGAGCAAAGGAGAAGGAGGAAAAAGATGGTGCTTGGCAGGGACGGAGTCATCCATTTAGCTGCCATTAGTTGTTGTTGAGCTTCCCCTCAACAACAAGGGGTCAGGTGATGTCACAGGTTTCATATGTGGCAGGAATCCTTTATTTGGAGGTTCACAGCAAAGATATTTCATTAAAGTGATGGGGTGTTCGGTGTCCAGTGTTTCGGTTCTAAGAGCAGAAGCTATTTTGGTTAACCAGCAAGTATGCCGTTAGCAACAATAGCTTATCCAGGGGTCTAATTTCAGTACTTTTGGTCACATTCAAAAAAATGTATCTGGAAAGCTTTAGGAAGCCTGGGCTTATTGTCCAAATATATATTGGTTTGCTGGAGTCAGCAGGTTAGCATGGACCCATAGTCAAAATGGACATAATTATAAGGGTAAGATTTAGGTGGAAAAATACCACAACTTCAGTAGATTTTTATTTATTGCAGTACAACAACCTGTACAGCTGCAGAGGTCTTATTATTTTTTTCTATACTGGGTGTAGGCAGGCAGAGAAAGATCATGCATGCATGCA